TATACTTGTTTGAATTAAATATTCTCATTATCTCTACGCTTGTTTGAATTGAATATTCTCGTGATCCCTATACATGTTTGAATTAAATATTCTCGTTATCACTAAACTAGTTTGTATTAAATATTCTCGTTATGCCTATACTTGTTTGAATCGAATGTACTGGTTATCCCTATACGTGTTTGAAGTATATATTCTCGTGATCCCTATACTTGTTTGATTTAAATATTCTCGTTATCCCCATACTTGTTTGAATTGAATAATCTCATTATCACTATACATGTTTGAATTAAATATTCTTGTTATCCCCATACTTGTTTGAATTGAATAATCTCATAATCACTATACATGTTTGAATTAAATATTCTCGTTATCTCTACATTTGTTTGAATTAAATATTCTCGTTTTCCCTATACTTGTTTAAATTAAATATTCTCATTATCTCTACACTTGTTTGAATTGAATATTCCCGTGATCCCTACACTTGTTTGAATTATATATTCTCGTTTTCCCTATATTTGTTTGAATTAAATATTCTCATTATCCCTATACTTGTTTGAATTGAATATTCTCATTATCCCTATACGTGTTTGAATTAAATATTCTCCGTATCCCTACATTTGTTTGAATTGAATATTCTCGTGATCCCTATACTTTTTTGAAATAAATATTCTCGTTATCTCTACACTTGTTTGAATTAAAAATTCTCGTTATCTCTAAACTTGTTTGTATTAAATATTCTCGTTATCACTAAACTTGTTTGTATTTAATATTCTCGTTATCCTTATACATGTTTGAATTAAATATTCTCGTAATAGCTATACTTGTTTGAACTAAATATTCTCGTTATCCGCATACTCTTTTGAATTAAATTATCTCGCTATCCTAATACTTTATTGAATTAATTGTTCTCGTCGTCGCTTATCTAAATTTAGTTCATTGTCTTTGCTGTCATCATACTGAATTGTATCAAATATTTTCGTTGTGACTTTGGTTGGCGCTATATTGTAATAAACTAATACACGTATCTGGATCCATAGTGAGTAAACTATTGCACGTATCTCGATCTATATTTATTAAACTAATACATGTATCTCGATCCACAGTCAGTTAACTAATACAAGTATCTCGATCTATTATCAAACTAATACACGTATCTCGATCTATAGCTAGTAAACTAATACACGTATCTCGATCTGTATTATATTAGACTAATACATGTATCTCGATCGATAGTCAGTAAGCTAATACACGTATCTCGATCTATTATTATATTAATACACATATCTCGATATATAGTCAGTAAACTAATACACCTATCTCCATCTGTATTTTATTAAACTAATACACGTATCTCGTTCTATAGTCAGTAAACTAATACACGTATCTCGATCTATATTTTATTAAACAAATACACGTATCTCGATCCATAGTCAGTAATCTATTACACGTATCTTGATCTATATTTATTAAACTAATACACGTATCTCGATCCATAGTCAGTTAACTAATACAAGTATCTCGATCTATTACTGAACAAATACACTTATCTTGATCTATAGCCAGTAAACTAATACACGTATCTCGATCTATATTTTAATAAGTTAATACATGTATCTCGATCCATAGTCAGTAAGCTAATACACGTATCGCGATTTATTTTTGAAATAATACACGTATCTCGGATGTATAGTCAGTAAACTAATACAAGTATCTCGATCTATATTTTATTAAACTATTACACGTATCTCGATCTATAGTCAGTAAACAAATATACTATTTCGATCGATATTTTATTAAAAAAATACACGTATCTTGATCTATATTTTATTAAACTAAAACACGTATCTTGATCTATATTTTATTAAACTAATACACGTATCTTGATCTATATTTATTAAACTAATACACGTATCTTGATCTATAGTCAGTAAACTAATACACGTATCTCAATCTATAGTCAGTAAACTATTACACGTATCTCGATCTATATTTATTCAACTAATACGCGTATCTCGATCCATAGTCAGTAAACTAATACACGTATCTCGATCTATATTTTATTAAACCAATACACGTATCTCGATCTATACTTTATTAGACTAATACACGTATCTCGATCTATAGTCTGTAAATACACGTATCTCAATCTATATTTTATTAATTTAATACACGTATCTCGATCTATAGCCTGTAAACGAATACACATATCTCGATCTATATTTTATCAAACTAATACACGTATCTCGATCTATATTTTATTATTCTAATACACGTATCTGGATCTATAGTCCGTAAACTAATACATATATCTCGATCTATATTTTATTAAACTAATATACGTATCTCGATCTAAATTTTATTAAACTAATACACGTATCTTGATCTATATTTTATTAAACTAATGCACGTATCTCGACATATAGTCAGTAAACTAATACACATATCTCGATCTATAGTCAGTAAATTAATACACGTATCTCGATCTATAGTATCTCGATCTATAGTCAGTAAGCTAATACACGTATCTCGATCTATATTTTATTAAACTAATACACGTTTCTTGATCTATATTTTTTAAACTAATACACGTATCTCGATCTATTTTTTAGTAAACTAATAGACGTATCTCGATCTATATTTTATTAAACTAATACACGTATCTCGATCTATATTTTATTAAATTAATACACGTAGGGTTTTAGCGATCTATATTTTGATAAATTAATATACGTATCTCGATCTACAGCCTCGACTAAGAGGGCCCCGCCCATATTACAACTCGGTTTTCAGCAGCACGATGTCCGTGTTGTCCGACATGCCTTGCAACAGAAGTTCGCCTTCAAAATCAATAACCTTTCTCTTCTTGGCAGCCTGTAGTAATGAAGCGTACGTACAGTCATTGGTAGTGAATGATTAGTCTGGGCTTATACTGCCCGGGTCAGTCCCTATAGACCTCTGGGTTGCTTTGCTGCCTGCCTACGCTCTTGTGATAGAGGTGGTGAGATGCACATAGCATCGTCAGTATAAAAGTGTGTGGTTTGCGAAGGCTGGCGGTATCAATACGTTGAGTGCTATTTAGGGAAGGCGATCGCAAGTGTATAGTCGCGTTACACAGGTTGAGCTTCACATATCTCCCACAGCTTTGAGAAGCATATGCATGAGTGGTGCATGCAGTTTGTTGCTAGTACAGATCAGTTCGGTACACATGATTGTATAAACTATGACGCACTGATTAACAAAGAAAAAGAAAACTCCAAACCCGAGGTCAAGTACGTGTGGACTGATTACCTACCTTCAGGGTACCGGCTAACGCCTCAAAGAGATTGGCACATCGATCGTCCTTGAACAGAGTGATGAATTTAACCTGCATCATGTACGTATACAAAGCTATCAGATAGAGGAATTTTTGAATCTGATGCGAAGCAGAGTGATTATTGCTATATACTGAGGATGTGCAGAACATATATAGATAACAGTGCGGGTGTGACCTGGTAATTTAAAAGACGCACGGCCAAAAATAGTACATAAATACATTTGTATATTTTTATATTTTTATATATATATACATACATATATATATATACATACATACATACATACATACATACATATATATATATATATATATATATATATATATATATATATATATATATATATATATATATATATATATATATATATATATATATATATATATATA